TCATCATCATTGTTGTCATACTTCAATTTAAAAGCAAGGTAGTTGAAAAGAATGGCAGCCAAAGGGCTGACGTGCCATGCGTGTAGTACCTTAGTATGGCTGTGAACACAAGACAGTTTGCCAATATGGTGACGAATAACTTTTATTGCAAATTTTTATCAAATAAAAATTGTCATCTCTAGCTATGACGTCAAAATCAGTTGTCACGAAAACTTTTAAGGCTAAGCAGTTAGCTTTACATAGTGTTAATTTCTACAAACTTTTAAAACCGCAAAAATTGTTGAAACCTTCAAAGCCTGGGTCTGAATCCCTTCAACATAATTTGTTTGAAGATTGGTCAAATTTTGGTCTTGCCAATTTAAAGATAATAGATCAAAATGAGAAATTTTTATCGAGTGTTTTTAAAGTTATTACCCTCAAGGTCTAAAATACGGTGTATTTGACCACTTCTGACCACATATGCAACTTATCCTGCCAATTGATAATTTTTTAAGGTTTTCATTGATATGGTATGCTGTAAAAATTATTGGACGAGCTGCGATGACATTCTAAGATAGTTATTTTTTAAAGTATTGTGCACGTAAGCCACCTTAAGTATACTCAGAGGGAGGGGGGAGTTTCATTGAAGCCTGAACTTTTAATTAAAAACCTGGCATGTTATATGGCAGTTGTGACGTTGTGCATAATGTAAGGGTTTGGTAATTCAATCTTTGCAAATAATGCTTATGAGTATACAGCGTTTTCACTCACGTGGCCACCAGCCATGCAGATTTAATGGAACAAAAGAAAATGTTTACATAAGAAAAGAGTTCAATTTCTACGGCATTAATTTGGGACACCAACATGGCTGCCGTTGAATTTCATTGTTTTGGGACATGAAAATGGCTCCCGTGAAGTCACGTGTATACACTAAAATGCACTAAAATACCCTCTCTACATCAAGTGAGAGTGTTTTGAATATTTTAAGAGTTTTCTCCTCTCGTTAGAGGATTAACATACTTTTTAAAAATGTCTATGTGTTTTTATTAAAGATGTGTCTATTATTTATCGTGATGTAGGATAGGACAGATAAATTTTACTCGTTTGTCTCACGATGGAGTCACTTATGATGTTATATTTTTTATTGACCAAGCATGAAGTCGAACTGGATATTTTGCAAAAACGATCAAGGGCAATATCCAGCCATTTTGACTCAATCAACAAGCTAAGTTAATAAAATATTTATTACATGGCATACCGGTCAGCATTTTCCTGCGGGATGCAGCATGCAATCCCGAGCGGCAAAATAGCCGCCATCTTGCCCGTTCGGGTAGCCAATCACAACGCAGGATTTGTTTCATCTTGCTCTCTCACAGAGCTAACCATGTAATAAAGTTATAAATTAAGAAAGTGTCGATAGTAGTCGAGGGTTACTTGATAACAGCTTTACTCTTAAGAATCGTAAAATTCAAGCTTATGCCACTTTGGCCTGAAATTTGTGTTTGATGCTACGTAACAAAAAGCAGCCGTCATCTTGAACGTCTCTCAAGGATTTGTTTCCTCTGCCTCTCACTGTCTCTCTTACATGTAGGTTGTGTTGTGTCCCGATCCAGTAGGGCGGTTTGCACGGGATGATACAACTGTGAACTGCTCTTGCAGTTTGCCCATCTCTCTGACCAGCTGTTCAAGCTTGTCCTCTACACCTTTGAGGTTAGCTTTCAAAGTAGGCTGCACACTCATCTCCTTAAATTCAATTCCGTCTGAAAGAAAATAAGAGATAAACAAAAGCTAATAGAACTTGTTTCTTGTATTCCAGGCCGTAAGGTCTGGTGGTGAAATGATTTGATTGCAGGTTTGATAGAGTGACCGAGTGAAGTGACTGACTGACTGGCTGGCTGGCTG